TTAAATGTTGCAGAAAGAAAGTGAGTAAAATATTTGGATATACACATTTCTATTAATAGTCTCCTGAATTCTTGGACTACTTCACTGTCATGCAGTGCTACACTTTAACATTTAAACTTCAACAGGCTTTCAAAGTTTTAGTCAGGGAACATTTCAGGAAGTGACCATAATTTCCTAAGTTTTATGTTACTAATGGATAAGGGATAAGAGTAGCCCTCAGGTAAAAGTACTAAACTGGGGGAAGGCTAACTATGGCAATATTAGGGGAATGTGGAATGAGGACTGCTATTTGAGACTAAATCCACATCTGTCATATGGGAATCTTTTAAAAACCAGTTAATTAGAGTTCAGGACCAACAAGCTCCTGTGAAAGGGAAGAATAAGGATGTCAAGATTCAGAAACCTTGGATGATGAGAGAAATTAAGAGCTTAGTCAGAAAAAAACTGAAGATAGGCAGAGCCCTTGAAGAATATAAAGAAAACAGGAAAGAAATTAAACAAGGAGTTAGGAGGGCTAAAAGGGGGCCATGAAACGTCCTTGGAAAACATCATTAAGAAAATACCACGGTGTTTTATATGTACATAAGGAGCAAGAGGGTAGCTAGGTCCAGTCAAGGGCAAAGGAGGGAATTTATGCACGGTGTTAGAGGAAGTAGACGAGGTCCTTAATGAATACTTTGCACAACATTAACAAAAGAAAAGGACATGGTGGATGGGGAGTCTAGAGAGGGGTACATTGATTTTCTAAGACATGTCAACATTAAAAAATGGCGGTATTGGGGGTTTTGAAAAGTATTAAAGGTAGACAAGTCACCAGGACCTGATGGTATCCATCCCAAAATGCCTAGGGAGGCGAGGGACGAAATTGCTGAGGCCTTGTATGAAATCTTTGTATCCCCTTCAGTCACAGGAGAGGTCCCAGAGGAGTAGAGAATAGCCAATGTTGTTCCTTTGTTCAAGAAGGTCAATGGGGATAATGCGGGAATTACAGGCTGCTGAACCTATGTCCGTGGTGACTGAACAGGAAGCTTGTACTGTCAGCTGAGCCACAATTGTCACTGAAATAGGGAGTTTGAGCATCTCTAGGCCACCATCCAATTGCCTCATTATTGTACGTTTATCTATTGACAATACCTGAATAACAAAATCCCGTCCCCTGAAGTCCGCAATTGTTCTAGGCAATCGTGTGCGTCCCCACACAAACCGCAGAAAAAGGGAGCGTTCAGTATTGGAAAAGGATTCCATCACTTCCCAGAACCACTGGATTAATGAAGCATTTGGTTCTATTCCTTTATATGTGGCGACAGACTTTAAAAGGTGAAGTGGTATATCAGGACTCCCACATACCTGCAATGATACAATGAATGGGATACTTCTGTCAGTTCATATCAAACCTTTTCCTTAGCTTAAACACTACATTGGCATTTTATGACTAATTCCAAAAATTTTAATTTTTAAAAAAACTCTTACTACAAACATAAAACTCAAACACTGTATCTGGAGGAGATTCAGGGAGAAAATTTCCAGCAGTAACTGGAACTTCAAACAGTTTCCATTAGAGGCCACGATGTATGTTTCTGCAAAATAATTCCAATTTCTCTCATGGCAACTAACAAGGGATGAACACATTCAGTTAGATGTTCCAGCCCTTCATTTAAAAAAAAAGGTGGTGGGTTTAGTATGCCCACTGTCCTCCTGCTGCCATGTCACCTTGCCTGCAGCAGGATTGGGAGGCAGGTGTCCTTCTGCCCAGGGCCCAACTGAGCCACTTAAGTGGTTATTTAAGGGACTCTTCCTGCCTCCAGGGCAGTTGGGTGAGGGATCTCTACTCCATGGGAAGATTGTCGGGCAAACCCTGTCAAATTGGGTAATTCTATGGGGGAAGGTTTGTCTTCATGGGCACTCTTCAAGTCAAAGAGATGCCCCTTCTGTCATGACCTATCCCCTGCAACCTTCTCTTGCAAATCCCAGCCGTCACGCCTTGCAAGACAGGACTTGGTGACCGCTATCCCCACTTGTTTGAGATTCCGCACATCCATCAATGTGGGTTCCTTCTCCAGGTGCAGACCCAGCAGCAGCCTCTGCTCCCAACGGTACTGGTTAAGGCTGCTAAACTATCAGACAGCTCTTGGGGGTAGGTGGCCACACTTATCAAGTGGCACGAGTTCCTGACAAGATGTAGCCCTTAGATCCTGCTGACAGCAGTGAATTCATTCCTCACTTTTTGGCTTGGCAGTGTGGCCACTGTTACTACGATTAAATACAACCGATTACATTGATCACAAAGCTAGTAATCATCACTTAAACAGAAAGGCTGGGTGAATTAGATCAAACGTTGCCCAAATCCATTCATGAAACAAAGGTCTAGCACAAGGTACATAAATACAAGTTAAAGTCACCACAGTCCCAGAGAACCCTAAAGCTGCTCTCTCAGTGATCACTTGTGGTGGTTTACCTAAGAGTTACCATGTTTCAGCGATAGAAAGGATGGAGAAGGAGGGACTTCCATGGGGTTCAGTTAACTGGACAGCTGTTTTGCAATCCAGAGTGGCACCGACAACATGGATTCAGCTCCTGGACTGGCCAAGGTAACCATTCTCAATCTCATTCCTTGCCTGAGGCATGACGACCCTCAGGTTATACCACCACCAATCATCCCTCTCTAATGAGAGAGCAGCCCGATGACTCGCTGGAACTGTGGTGATTTTTTAAAAAAACTTTTGGTAATGGTTTTGAAATTTGTTCACGTCAAACGTGCCAGCATTGACTAGGTACGCACAGGGAAAAATCCCTGTACCTGAATGGATAGGCTTAACGCATACCCAACATTGGATCTGAGGCATTAGGCCTTATTTAAATAAGGCTGCGATTATGTGGATGAAGGGTGGTTATCTTTATGAAGCTTGCCCATGAATTGACGTGGGGTTCCAGACAATTGTATTGATGTGAATGATGTAGGCAGGAGGCAAGGAAGTGGATCGTGAAGGAATCACTAGTGAGAGAAATCCGACCTAGAAGGAGGAAAGAAGCAATTGGGCAGGAGGCGAACACATTTTGACAATGGATCTAGGTAATGCAGTGTTTCAAGAGTTGTCCATTCAATTCAACTTTTCCTTTAAAAATGTAAGACAAGAAACAGGAACAGCAATATGCCATTCGGCCCCTCAAACCTGCCTCAACACTGACGAAAATCATGGCTTCAACTCCATTTCCTCCTGGTTCCAGCTAATACAAACTGGAAACTAGTTGCCCACACCTGAAAATACAACATCTAACCACATAAAGCATATAATGTAGAAACAACATTAAACTTTCAAATACACTCCCAACCCGCCTGAGGGGAAATAGTTTGGCATTAATTCAAAATCAATGCTATTTAAAAATTAATTCTCAACAATTAATGGTTTAAAATAAAGCAATGACGTCTCCTTTATTTAAGCTAATCATACAATTAAGAATTTTCAGTTTAGAATCTGTCAGAAGGAATGACATACCATTGTTTCCAGTTCATAGCCAGTGAAGAGAGAAAGAAGAGGTACAGGGACAACTCGAGCCATCCCCTCCCGTACAGCAGCAACCTGCTCATCAAATTCATGCAGCCTGTGACAAACAAAGCACACCAAACAAGAAAAGACATTTTTAGAAAGTCTTGCATTTAAATAGCATTTTTCACAACCACCAAAACATCTCCAAGCCATTTTTTTTTGAGTGGCAGCTTATTTGAGGACAGCAACTCCCACAAACAGCTTCGTATTAATGACCAGATAAACTGTGATGTTATTTGAGGGATAAACAGTTTGGCCAGGACACCAAGGATACCTCCAAAATGATAGCAATGCATCTCTTACATCAACCCAAGCAGGCTCATAAGGCCTCAGTTTGAAACTAATCTGAAATATGACACCTCTGACAGTGTAGCGTTCCCTCATAACTGCACTGGAGTGTCAGTCTTAATTTTTGTGCTCAAGCACTTGACTGGGACTGGAATGTGAAATCTTGTACCACGTAGTTGACAGCATTAGTTTTACTAAAACTGATTTTTAAACGTAGCTTTTCAAAAAACTTAAACTAATGCAATAGCAACACCTTATGACGCAGTGATATGCATGACAACAGGAACTATAGCTGGACAAGTCTTTGCAAAATAGGCCTATGAAAAGGCAATGCTACAAAATGATTCACTTTACCTATAGTTTATGGCCAGCCTAACATACTCTGCCCTGTTCTCCAATACGATATGAGTGTGCTTGGAGCTCAGCTGAATATCTTGACCACTGGCACTTGGCACGGTGAACGGCAAAGACATGGCCTCGAACTCCTCAGCTGTGGCTTCATTATCTCTGATGTACATAAGCCCAGGAATAAAGTCTTTGTCAACCTAAGAGTAAGAACATGGGATAAATAATAGGTATTTTCATCAAATATACCTAGACCATTAATGCAAGACAACTTTTCTTCGATGTAAACAACAAAAAAAAACCAAGAAATTTCATATTAGCCAAAATCGACACTGAGTCAAAGAAAGTATTATTTGGAGAGGTTGGTCAAATATATAAGGATTCCAAAAAGGCTTGAAAAGGAAGAAAGGTGATAGGAAGACAGGTTTAGGAAGGGAATTCAAGAACTTAGGACTAAGATGAATGACAATAATTACCAATTATGTGAGAAAGTAGTGGGGGCAAGTAAAAGGTTTGAACACAAAGCCAGAATCATCTCGATGCCTGCTAGACTGGTGAAGTTAAAGCGATGGGGATGACCACAGAAATCGCGGCATTTAAACACTGCATGACCTATAAATGAGGGGTCCAGGAGCCAATATAGGAACAGTGTGCAGGACTTGTGATAGGATAGAATATTGGCAGCAGAGTTTTAGACAAGTTGAGGTTTAAGGAGGGTGCAGTACAGAAGGCCAGCCAGGAAGGAACTGGAGATGGAGAAGCCAGAGATGAGGGTTTCAGAAGGAGGGTTTCAATGTGTGGCAGAGATGGGCAATGTTGTAGAAGCAGGCAATCTCTACTTTGGGAGAAGATATCGAGCTCAGGTCAGGTCAAAAAGATGCTGAAGGCAAATAGCCTTGGCTAACCAAAAGACAGTGGCAAAGCTACAGAGCCATGATCAGTTAAGGTGATACCAGTCTTTTCAAAGTTTATATGGAGGAATTTGCAGCTCATGCAGTATTGCATTGTCAGAAATGTAAACATAATTTGTTTGTTTGTAATGTACTGACAATGCTGCTGCAGACATCAATGATGCATTACAATTATGAAGTTTATAAGATTGTAATGTCCTGGAACTGTCTTTAACAGAAGGTGAGGAGATCATGTGACCCCACCACCAGCGATGCCCGCATCCTGTGAATGAATTTTTAAAAAAAATTCTGAAGTTAGCTTGACCATAAGGGTAGTGACCATTAGACATTAAAGGAAGTCCAGATTGGTTTACTGGAATGAAGATACAAGATGGTTAATGCTCAGAGACAGTAGCAGCAGCCTGTGTACTTACAGTGGATAGACTTTGTCTCCAAAGTTCTGGAATAAGGATTCTGTGCAATCCAAGATGGAGAACAGAAAAAAAAATGGTGGCTGTAACAGCTGCTCCTTTTGAGCTATTTTCAGTGTTGGAGCTGATTTCCTTGAATTCTAGGAGCAGTAATTACTGTTTTATAAACAGTTGCATTGTTTTGGAACTTTGGGGGAAAAAGAAAGATCAAAACAACAGCATTTTAAAAAGGAGAAAGACAGACAAAGGGCAGTGACCACACAGGCAATGATTCAAATGGGAAAAGAAACCTACACTGCTGTCTGACCCAGCAGTAACCTGCACAGCTGCTGCTTTTGTTGTCTGTTTTCTGAACATCGGAGTTCGTTCTAAGAAAATAAACAAACGGCAAAATTCACAGCTGACCTTGGAGGAACTTGCGTGTGGGAACTCACAGCAGGGGAGCAGCTAAGTGGCTTTTTAAAGTGTAACCTTACTGGTTTTCTTTTTCAAATCTACAGTATAGTGGGGTTTTGGTTGGATTACATGCTGTTATTGAGATCTGTCTATTGGATTAAAATGTAAAAACGTAGAATCTAATCTAGCCTGCAGCAGTGTTATTAGAGCAGTAAGAATGTGTGGAGGCTGATATATTTACAACATTTAAGAGGCACCTGAATGGTTAGATGAATCGAAGGGTTTAGAGGGAAATGGGCCAAATGCTGGCAAATGGTACTAGATTTATTCAGGATATCTAGTTGGCAAGGTCAAGTTGGACCGAAGGGTCTGTTTCCGGGCTGTATATTTCTATGACTCTAAGTGGGACTAATTTAAGATTTAAACACTTGTGCCAATTTGGTTCCAAAGTGAAAGAATCGAGAGTCTCAAAGACAGCTGGGTACAACACCAACATGATTCATATTGTCACAAAGTGGGTAAGGTCCTTAACGTAAAATTTGCATCAGCACTAACAAAGGAGAAGGACATGGTGGAGTCTAGGGAGGGGCATGTTCGTATTGAAGGGCATGTCAATATAAAAAAACATGGTATTGGGTGTTTTGAAAAGCATTAAAAAAGGTAGAGAAATCATGGAAACAGATTTTGAGAAGGATTTGCCAAGCTCTGGAAAAGAACAACTAGGGACCAAATGGATCAGAGGCAACAGAATGCCCAGATTGAATGACCAAACTCGTGAGGAGTTAAAATGAGGCTGAGAAAGAGGATTTCCAATAATATCTTCATGGTGAAGGACAGTTCCAGGTTAGAATTACCAGGCTGAAAGACTGTTACATGTCCTTGATTTGTTTCAGTTAGGTTACAAATTCCGTTCTGTAGGTTACAATATAAGTTGCCTACAAAAGCAATGTTCAGTCAATAGTGCATTAATATCTTTTACAGTAAAGGTCTTATAATATGTAATCTGTCACATTACCCTCTCCGCTATTAACTGGAAGTTCAAATTGCCCTTTTTAAAAAAGCTATCAGTATCTTCAGGGTACATTAGAAATGGTGGCAGTGGAGGAAAGATCTTTGGGTGACAATTCAGAAACAGGAAGAGAAGTCATTGCTGAGAAGCTCTGGATGCACTTAGATAATATGAGTGGAATCAAGTGAGGCCAGTCCACTGAGCTACACAACAGAGGCAAGCATTAGAGGATGGTGGTATAGTATACTTTAGTACAGTCTGCAGGTGAGATCAAGGTGGATGAGCAGAGACGATGCACCATAATCACAGTCATAAAAGATGTCATTGGTTACTTTGATTAGTGTGTTCCACTGCTATGACAGGAGCAGATGCTGGACTGGAGAGACTCAAGCACATTGTACAGAAAGGATTTTGTAGAAGAAAGAGGGTTTAGAAACAAGGTTGCCAAAAACAGACAGGGGTCAATGGTTGTTTGCATGTGAATAGGGATTATTGATTTATAACGTTTATATACAACAAAGTTAGAATATTCTAACTCCAGACAAAAATAGAGTACTTAAAATGTGTTTATTTATAACAAATGCATAAAGACATAGGCAGAAATGTCAGAAATTACCTCACTCAAGTCAGCAATTGTTAGATTCATTCCTGCCAGTTGTTTCCACACTGGTTCAGCCAAATTGAGACTCAGAGGACTGCCTGTACGTATAGCAATGCCTAACAGTACACCTATAAGTGAGAACAACAAATGGAAAGTTCCAGGATAATATAATGTTAAAAGCATGAATAGATCCTAATTATTCCATTCTAACTCTCATGGACAATACAGCAGATAGCAACAAATTTTGGATAGTACTTTGCTTCGACTGCACTCTGCAAAATTTACCACTCACTTTCTGGATGGTCATTAAAAGTTTAAAAAAAAAATTTAAGAATTTTGATCTTGCATAAATTAGATGTCTTTAGTTCTCAAAAGAGATTTATTTTCTACAAGATTTCTAACTTTATTCTTCAAGCTTCCAGTGTGATGGAGTCAGATCCAATCCAACACCATCAACATCCAACATCTTATACACCTAGGAGATAGTAAGGACTGCAGATGCTGGACGTCAGAGTCGATAAAATGTGGAGCTGGAGGAGCACAGCAGGTCAGACAGCATCTGAGGTGCAGGCAAGTTGACGTTTTGGGTCGGGATCTTCATCAGGGCTGCTGTGGGGGGAAGGGAGCGCAGAAATAAATGGGGGGAGGGTGGGGCTGGAGAAAGGTAGGTGGGATGGTGATAGGTGGATGCAGGTAAGAGGTTGTAGAGATTGGTCAATGGTTAAAAAAAGAGTGGGGCGGATAGGTGTTAAGGCAGATGGACAGGTTGTGTCAGGTCAAGGAGGCAGGGATGAGGGGGACGGCTGGACATTGAATGAGGCTGGGGGTAGGGAGATTTTGAAGCTGATGAACTCTATGTTGAGGCCGTTGGGCTGTAAGCTCCCAAGGTGGAACATAAAGGTGTTGTTCCTCCAGTTTACGTGTGGCCTCATTGTGACAGTGAAGGTGGCCCAGAATGGACATGTCGCCAAGGGTGGGAGGGGGAGTTGAAATGGCTGGCAACCAGAAGGTGGTGTTGATTGGAGCGTACAGAGTGCAGATGCTCCATGAATTGGTCACCGAGTCTGCGATTGGTCTGTCCGATATAGAGGAGACCGCATCAGGAGCGACAAATGCAATAGACCAGGTTAGAAGACGTGAATCTCTGTCGGATTTGGAATGACTGTTTGGGGCCTTGGACAGAGGTGAGAGAGGAGGTGTACAGGCAGGTAAGCTCTTCCTGCGGTTGCAGGCAAAGGTGCCTCTCCATGCATTGCTGGTAACCGACTTAGCACTGACAACCATTTCACACCCAATGACACAGCTATTCGACTACAGCTCCTCTCAGCCACCCTCTTGCAAAAATGCAATCCCACATTCCCAATTCCTCCGCTTTCGCAGCATCTGCTCCTGGGATGAGAAGTTCTACTCCCGGACATCCTAGATGTGCTTCTACTTCAAGGAACTTAACTTCCCCTCTCTCATGATCCATAATGTCCTCAACCACATCTCCTGCATTTTCTGCACTTCTGTCCTAAAACCCCCCCCTCCAGCAACAAGGATAAAGTCCCCCGGTCCTCATATACCACCCCACCAATCTCCCAAATCCAATGCATCAACCTCCGCTATTTTCACCACCTGCAATCAGACCCCACCACCAAAAAGATAATTCCTTCCCTGCCCCTATCTGCTTTCCGTAGGGACCACTCACTCCATGACTCCCTTGTCCACTCCACACCAACCCTTCTACCACACCTGGCACCTTTTCCCGTAACCGTGGGAAGTGCTACACCTGCCCTCCCCTCTCACCTCCGTCCGAGGCCCCAAACAATCATTCCAAATCCGACAGAGATTCACTTGTACATCTTCTAACCTGGTCTATTGCATCAGTCGCTCCTGATGCAGTCTCCTCTATATCGGAGAGACCAAGCGTAGACTCGGTGACTGATTTGCGGAGCATCTGCGCTCTGTACGCTCCAATCAACACCACTTTCTGGTTGCCAGCTATTTCAACCCCCTCCCACTCCTTTGGTGGGATGTCCAACCTGGGCCTCCTCCACTGTCATAATGAGGCCACATGTAAACCAGAGAAACACCACCTCATATTCTGTTTCGGGAGCTTACAGTCCAATGGCCTCAACATAGAGTTCACAGTGTGGAGCTGGAGGAACACAGCTGGCCAGGCAGCATCAGGGGAGCAGGAAAGCTGACATTTCAGGATGGGACCTTTCTTCAGAAATCCCAACTTCGCAATCCCAGCACATTTATATTGAAGGGAAAGTCAATGCAAAAAAAAGGTGGTGACGATGGCTGTTTTGAAAAACATTAAAGATAGGCAAGTCCCCATGACCTGATTGGATCCATCCCAGAATACAGAGGCAGGAAATAGCTGGGATCTTGTATGAAATTTTTGTATTCTCTTTATCCACAGGAGGGGTTCCAGTGAACTGGAGAACAGCCAGTGTTGTTCCTTTAAGGGTAACAGGGATAATCCGAAAAATTACAGGCCAGTAAGCCTTACGTCCATTATAGGAAAATTACTGAAGAAGATTCTTAAGGACAGGATTTACTCACATTTGGAAAAATTTGGACTTATAGGCAGCATTGAGTGAGTTTTGTTTAAAAGAAGTAACAAACATGATTGATGAGGGCAGGGTAGCAGTTCTCTGTATGGACTTTAGCAAGGTCTTTGACAAGTTCCCTCACAGCAGGCTGATACAAAAACGTGAAGTTACATGGATGATAAACTGCATACAGACGTGATTTAATTATAGAAGACACAGGGTAGCAGTGAAAGGGTGTTTTTCTGACTGGAGATCTGTGACCGGCGGTGCTCTGCAGAGATGAGAGCTGGGACCCTGTTGTTTGTAATATATATGGTATATAAAATGATTTGAAGGAGAATGTAGATAGCCTGATTACGATGTTTGCAGACCACACAAAGATTGGGGGTAGCTGCAGATAGTGAGGATTTCCATAGGATACAACAGCATAAAGATATGCTGGAGACTTGGACAGAGAAATGGCAGATGGAGTTTAATCCAGGCAAGTGCGAGGTGATGCATTTTAGAAGGTCTAATGCAGGAGGGAAGAAAAACAGAACCCTTAGTTGCATCAACATACAGTGGGATCTAGGCTTAAAAGGCCCACAGCTCCCTGAAAGTGGCAATATAAATGGATAAGGTGGTCGAGGTGGCACATGGCATACTTGCCTTGCATGGAATATAAAAATTGGCAAGTTATGATGCAGTTGTTTAGAACTTTGGTTAGGCCACATTTGGAATACAGTCTGGGTCGCCGTACTAACAGAAGGATGTGGAGGCTTCGAAGAGGGGACAGGAACAATTCACAAGGACCTGGTTTGGAGGATATCAGATTGGGCAAACTTGCTCGTTTTCACTCAAACTTCAAAGGATGAGGGGTGATCTCTTTACAAAATTATGAGAGGCACGGACAGTCACAGGGTCTTTTTTCCAGGGTAGAAATCTCAATTACTAGGCAACATAGGTTTAAGGTAAAAGGGAGAAATATTCAAAGGCGATGTGAGAGGCAAGTTTATTTCTTACTCACAGGGTGGTAAGTGCTTGGAATGCGCTGCCATAGGTGGCAGGGTAGGTGGATAAAATAGTAATATTTAAGAGGCATCTTGACAGATAGTGAATAGGCAGGGAATACTGGACTACAGATCACAAAGGCAAAAGGTTTTTAGTTTAGAGAGGCAATATGTTTTGGCACAGTCTTGGGCCGAAGGATCTATTCCTGCGCTGTACTGTTCTCTATCTCCAGTTGAAATTGTGAAACTCAACATGCATCTTTTCTGGGCTGCATACCTTACATCACAATGGATGGTGTATTTATTCATTAACTGATTAAGGAAGCTTACTTTTTGAATTAACACACAAAGTGCAAACCTCAAGACACATTAATAGCCCACATACCTAGAAATCTGAACATGTTCATGTGCAATTGCGATTTGGCAGCTGGATTTAATAGAAAGCAGTCTCGGTTGGCTCCAGATTCATCCCTTCCATTTGGGGTAACAATCAACAACGGCGTCAAACCATTTTGAAGCTCTTCACACATCTCTGCAATCGATTCACTGTAGCCTCCACCACAATCATCCACTGATTCGCCTGGACAAAGAAACAAGTTTCAATCAGATAAATGTTCCTCAGCAACTAAGATGCAAAATTTTTGCAGTGTTGTATAAATTGCATATGCTAATGAGTGCCAACCATGACAAAGAACAAAGAACATTGTTAAAACTTACAAAAGAGTGAATATAATTGATAATAAGTAGAATTCTGACACCGGTTTTGGCAAACTGATGTATCAATTAACTCTCTAACCATTTCAGGTTGTGATTCTTGATGTGGCATTGAATCACAGGCCAAGAAATTGCCAAGGTTGACCTAGCTTAGCAATTGGGAGCGAAAAATGTCCTCAATCATCTTGGACTGCAGAAGAGGTGGAGGGACATGTCAAGCAATTATAAACACTTAATGAATTCAATTACTAAACTCAAAAACATATGGTGAATGTCCACATGTGGATATTAGGTATGGTCAAGATTAGGTTTGCACGTAATGCTTTCCAGTAAAATGCTGACCACATTCACAATGAATGCTCACATAAGGAAAGTAGACCCCAAGGTAAAGTATCAGTTTCTAATGAAATCTTAAACAACATATGCCACACTTCGAGGTTGGGGGGAGCAGGAGTTACTGACTTTATCTTCAGTCTTGGGCGACTGTCTGTGTGGAGTTTGCACATTCTCCCCGTGTCTGTGTGGGTTTCCTCCGGGTGCTCCGGTTTCCTCCCACAGTCCAAAGATGTGCAGGCTAGGTGGATTGGCTATGCTAAATTGCCCATAGTACCCAGGGATGTTTAGGTTAGCTGGGTTAGACATGTGAAATGCAGGGGTAAGGGAATGGGTCTGGGTGGGATACTCTTCAGAGGGGCAGTGTGGACTTGTTGGGCCAAATGGCCTGTTTCCACTCTGGAGGGATTCTATGATTCTTGAGTATCAAAAGAAATGATGTTAGAATCCACTTCTTGGGCTCTCACTGAGCTGGAAGTTGGCTTCTGATTAAAATCAACATCAGGGAGAAAGCAAAGTAAATTTTTTTATCTCCTCCCCCTACTCGTGGCCCACACAAAAAAAAAAGAAACAAAACAAAAGTTAGCTGCATAACTAAACATACCAACAAACTTGACTTTCCAGACTCTGTGAGGGAGCAACAAGCTATCAGGACTGAGCGAACTCATCTTAGCACACATCTGACCAAAAACAGACTTCGTGCCATCAGGACCTGCCAAACCTCCTTTACTTCTGGAACGTTTGACCTGAAGGAAAAGATCAATTTTAATCATCAATGCCAAAACCAGGCTGAAAAGCAAAAGCAGTGACGTATTTCAAAAGCCATGACAGAAATTCAAATATCAGGTGGTGATCGGACCACGAGTATCCAGTTCCACCCTGTACACATTCGCTGCCTTTGCTCAAAGCTTTGTCACTAAGATTGATTTCTGAAATCTTCTGCTCATTCACCTCCACTCTTCAGAAAGACTGAATGAGGTCTAAGTCCTCACCCACGCAGGCATGGCCCCAATAAGTAGTGCTGGTTCCCTGTGGGAGTTCAAGGCTCTTCCACCTCACTGCATCTAATATGGAAAAAACTTCTTCAACCTCAGGTAACACAACTGGCACTTCTGGGACATGGTGTGACTGGTTGTTCGCACATCTCAAAAGATAACCTTCCAGCTAAAATATTCCTGTCTTCTAAACTCCTGTTGATGTGGCCAGGTAAGGCTTCTGAAGGGATCAAGGCACAGACTTGAGAAATTTTAAACCTAGGGATTGTGAACAACCACAGTAGAAATGCCTAAGCGGGATTCTGTGCAACATAGGATATACGTGGCAGAAGGGTTGAGGTGAGTGTGTTAAGCTAATAACTGGTTGCAGAGAAAGGACTGAGTTGTTATCCAATATGATACTGGAGTAGGAAGTGCTTTGGCGTGGACAGGTTGGGCCAAAGGGCCTGTTTCTATGCTGTAAGTCTCTGTGACTGTAAGCAGAGGACACCAAGGACCAACAGTGTTTCATGTGGTTCAATTAAGTCCAGCAAATACCTAAAAACAGTTGAATATCAGACAATGTCAAAGTTGCAGCCTATAGACTTGAAAGATTAAAGAAAAAACCTCCTTAAACCCAACATTACCTCAGTATTACTTGATTTTTTTTTCCCCAGAAGAACTTTTTCAATGGTGGATTAGCAGGGATTAATCTATGCAACAGTATTATAATGAGATTATAAACAAACAAACAAGCAAACAAACAATCAGCAGAACCCAATATATTTCACAGAAGAGAAAACTTTAAAAATTGTTCTGTAATAGGCAAATCATTCCGAAGCCTCCATTTATGCTCACCTTCACTCTTATTGCAACCTATATATTCCTGTGTTTCATTATTTTTGCTCTGAACTCTCTGCTTTTGCACTTCAACTACATTGACCATCACCTTACGTTTTCTTACTTTTTAATAAATCCAGTCATACCCAGTTGTCTGCTCCTACAACTATCATAACCCAGGTCCTCAAAACGGAGAAGCTCCTCTATTAACTTCTCTGCTAACAGTCTTCACTGCATCTTACAACCTACAAGCTTTCTACCTATTTATTGCTTCTTGTTAAGTCTCCAACTTTCAGCAACTTTAGCAATGTCCTGTGCTATGGTGTTGCCCTATACCAGAGGTCATGTCTCTTTGCTAGGTTTCTTCGTTCAAATCATTCTTTAATACAATTAAAATCTGAGCATCTTACCGAAATGGACTCCTAAAACAACATTTCCAAAATTCAAGAGCAAAAGTCTGCCCTCAGGACAAAATGCAAGGAAAGAATCAGCTGTAAAACCAGATTTACATCTTAACTCATTCAAAAACAAAGTGTTCTTCTTTGATAAAATGCTATCTGATCACAAAGTTAAATTTAAATGGAGCGCCAAATATTACTTATTCAAAGCGAGAAAGGAGTCCTGTTAAGTTTAATTACATGCATTGCCTAAATGATTGGCTTGGGCAACCTCAAGATACAAATATTTAACAATAGCTGGTAAAAAGGCCAAGGTTCCAGTTTTAAAAGATTTACTGGGATTTTGTTGCACAATTGTACCTGAATTCTGTTAAGCTCCACAACAGGCCCATGCTGTCGATCTCGGACCATAGTCGCTTGGACTACCTTGCGAAAAGCAGCTTCCTGCAATATAATGTTGAAGTTGTTAGCAAATGCCAGGTGAACCGCTCAGGTAACTGTGCTTATAAGACCATAAGACATATGAGCAGAAATGGGGGAGGCGATGGCCTAGTGGTATTATCGCTGAACTGTTAATCCAGAAACCAGACAACAATTAGGGCAATTGGGCAATTAGGGATGGGCAATAAATGCTGCCTAGCCAGTGACGCCCTCATCCCGTGAATGAATCAAAAAATTGTATTTGCCTAACTACCGACTCAACCTGCAAGTTTGCCTTAATGGAATCCTGGACCAGGACTCCCAAGTCCCTTTGCATGTCAGATTTCTGAATCTTCTCCCCATTTAGAAAATAGTCTACGCCTCTTCTTCCTAGCAAAGTGAATGACCTTGCACTTTCCCACACTGTATTCCACCTGCCACTTCTTTGCCCACTCTCCTCACCTGTCTAAATCCTTCTGCAGCCTCCCCGACTCCTCAATACTACTTGCCTGTCCACTTCTTTGTAACATCTGCAAATGTAGCCAGAATGCCCTCAGTTCCTTCATCTGGATCATTAATATATAAAGTGAAAAGTTGTGGTCCCAACACCATCAGTCACCAGCTGCCATCCTGAGAAAGACCCTTTTAATCCCACTCTCTGCATTCTGCCAGACAGCCAATCTTCTATCCATGCTAGCACCTTTAACTCTAACAGCATGGGCCCTTATCTTACTCAGCATCCTCCTATGCGGCACCTTGTCAAAGGCCTTCTGGAAATCCAAGTAGGTAACATCCATTGGCTCTCCAATGAAACCTGCTCATTACTTTCTCAAAGAATTCCAACCGATTTCTCAGGCATGACCTCCCCTTGATGAAACCATGCTGACTTTGTCCTATTTTACCATGCACTTCCAAGTATTCAGAACTCTCATCCTTCACAGTGGACTTAAAAATCTTACCAACGACTGAGTCAGGCCTGTAATTTCCTGTCTTTTGCCTCACTCCCTCATTGGGGTGGGGGGTGGTGGTTTACATTAGCAACTTTGCCATCATCTGGGACCCTCCCTGTCGCCAGTGATTCCTGAAAGATTACCACTGACACCTCCACAGCCATCTCCTCCAGAACTCTCAGCTGTAGTCCATCTGGTCCAGGTGACTTATCCACCTTCAAGCCTTTCAGTTTTTTCTAGCACCTTCTCCTTGGTGCATGGCCACCAGACTCACCTGCGCCTGACTCTTGAATTTTTGGGATGTTACTCGTGTCTTCCCCTGTGAAGGCTGACGCAAAGTACTTGGTCAGTTCCTTCATCATTTCTTTTCTCCACATTACTACTTCTCCAGTGTCATTTTCCAGCAGCCCAATGTCCACTTTTGCCTTTCTTTTGTCTTTTACATATCTAAAGAAACTCTTGCAATCTTCTTTTAAATTACCAGCTAGCTTACCCTTATATTTAATCTTCTCCCTCATTTCTTTTTTCGTTGTCCTCTGTTGGTCTTTGTGGGCTTCCCAATCCACTGGCTTCCCACTGCCCTTTGCAACATTTAATGCTGTCTCTTTTGCTGTTGTGGTGTCCCAGACTTTCCTAGTCAGCCATGGTTGCCTCCCTTTAATATGCTTCTTTTTCCTAGGGATGAAGCTTTGCTGTGTTTCCCAAATTACTCCCACAAAGTCCTACCATTGCTGTTTCACTGTCTTTCCCACTAGGCTTCTCTCCCAGTCAATTCTGGTCAGCTCCCCTCTCATGCCTTGTAGATGCCTTTATTCAACTGTAATACCATCACATCTGATTTGCTTAGTCAAATATAACTTAAAAATTGTTCAAACCAAAATTACAACGCTCAAGTACAAAAGGATATGTTTCACTTACTATCCCTGAAATGGTCAGCTTTGAATTCTATTTCCTGCTCCTTCCCCATATCCTTACGTTCTTTTCAAATTTTACCCCAGTCTTTTTTTAAACAATGCTATGGTCACTGTCACCATACAACTTATAGTGAAGTATACCAAGTTCTAACAATCTTCTACGTAGGTTTCTGCTCATTTTTCCCTCTTTGATCTTTGATTTGTAGAAACATTTTTTGACAAACTGGCCTCAACAACATTTCTTCTGCAAGATAACCTGCTTAATTTTTCTGTAAATGCCATTATTATGCCATTAACATTTCAGAAATAAACTTGCCTGTGGTTTCTGCTTTTGTTTTAAGTAATGTTGATTCAAAACATTGCAAATGCAAGATGGAGCTGCTGGTGAACCCTCCATACACTCTCCATTGTTTTACAATACGTGAAACTTTTGACAAAGAAGACTATTCCCAAAAGCTAAGCCCACTGTCAAAACAGGGTCTTACCTTGCCCTGTGATATTAATATTCCACGTAAAGTATCAAGTCCAACTGAAGGGCCTTGCCCAGTTTCATCAAGTCGACCTTCCAAATCAAACATTGGAATACAGGGACAGAAGAGTTCAGAGATATGGTGTAGTAGTAACAGTCTATTCCGCAATGAGATTATTGGGATTTCCTGGAGGTAGTTGTATTCCATTGGAATCTTAAATAAATAAGAAATACACAGATTTAAAAAAATTTACTTTAAAAGCCGTTAATTGCAATGAAAATTTGCTAACACTGCTTGGCTCTGAAGGGGACAGCAATGAAAGTTAATTACTTTCCAATCACTAACACATGCTGCTGAGAACTTAACTTACAAGAACATTTGGAATTAACCACTGATATTATTAACTAACCTGTGATGGGAGCTTTCCTGCATTGGCAGGTTTGCTGGTTGACCATGCCAAGGTGTGGGCTGAACCACACGCAACACGATTAATCTTTTTCCCTTGCAGTGCAGTTACCAAGCGTGGCCGCTGGATGGCATTAGTCGTCCCGTCTCCAAGCTGCCCTTCATCATTGTCTCCCCATGTATAAACTTCTCCTTGTTAGGAATGGAAAAATGAAAATGTAATATAGAATCATGGAGTCATACAGCATGGAAACAGACCCTTCAGTCCAATCAGTCCATGCGAAACATAATCTCAAACTAAACGAATAATCTCAAACTACGTGCCTGCTAATGGCCCATATCCCTCCAATCCTTTCCTATTCCCAAATGTCTTTTAAACGCTGTAACTGTACACGCATCCACCACTTACTCTGAAAGTTCATTAATTGCCCCTCATGTCAATTTTTTAAATCTGTCTCCTCTCATCTTTAAAAACGTGCTCCCTAGTCTTGAATTTCCCCATCCTAGGGAAAAGACAACTTTCATGAACCCTACCTATACCTCTCATGATTTATAAACTTCTATAAGGTCGCCTCTCAACCTCCTGCATTCCAGTGAAAACAGTCCCAGCCTCTCTCTATAACTCAAACCTTCTATACCTGGCAACATCTTGGTAAATCTCTTCTGAACCCTCGCCAAACTTAATCTCCTTCTAATAACTGGGCGATCAGAACTGGACACGGTATTCCAGAAGAGGTCTCACCAACGTCCTGTACAACCTCAACGTGACTTCCCAACTATACTCAAAAGGCAAACTATGGAGAATTAATCTTTTTTTTAAAACAATTCAATATTTAGGTCGGAGGAAATGTGCTTTTCCATTTTTCTCTCCTCTTACTCATTTTCATTTTTATTCCCCTAGTTTAAAACATGAGCTGTTATACAAATCTACAAAGGAATATGTTCTCTCCAGTTGACCATTGAGTAAATAGACAAGGCACAATATATTTGGCAAAAAGAAACCTAAGAGTAATTGTCATTAAGCATTATACAAGCACCTAACACGTCAATCAAACTTCTTTGCATAGATTTTAATAAAAGCATTAAACAATATGACTAGAACCTATTAAAATAAAGAGAGGCATGAGAGACAATGTTAAACAGTACTCAAATGGACAATAAAATTGTTGACAGTAAATTATAGCTGCTAGTCAATTTTGTAATTAAAATTGTACCAAACTCCTGACGGTGCTGTAGTTCGAGTAAGCCTGCATTAGCTTATCTATAAAGCTTTCAAAATATCTTACAAGTCTTACCATCCTCAGTGCAGCATACACAATGCAAAGATCCAGTTGCAATAGCAATCACCTTCTTCCCTTGTAACCCCTGGACTTGCCGAGGTCTCCTGACATGATCATCAGAGCCATGACCCAACCTATGGTAGTCACCTTTACCCCTGTAAAGGCAAACACTACGTTAATAATTTGACAGGGTGATTGGTTAGCTCAGTTGATTGATTGATTTATTGTTGCCAGATGTACCAACGTGCAGTGAAAAGTGTTGTTTTGCATGTTTTACTGGCAGATTGTACCATACAAGGTGTATCAGGGCAGCAGAACAGAATGGATAATACAATGTTACAACCACAGAGAAGGTGCGGGGGGAGGGAGAGAGAGACAGAGAGATCAGAACTAACATTTGAGAGTCAATTCAAAAGTCTAACAGCAGCAAGGAAGCAGCTGTTCGTGAATGTGTTCATACATGTATTCAAACTTTTATATCTTCTGACCAATGGAAGAGGGTGGAAGGGTCTTTGATTATGTTGGTTGTTTTCCTGGGGCAGCGGGAAGGATAGATGGAGTCAATGGATGGGAGGCTGGAATGCATGATTAACTGGGCGGTGTTCATGATTCTGTGGTTTCTTGCAGTCTTGGGAACAGCAGTTACCACACTATGCTGTGTTGCATTCAAATAGGATGCAATCTTTGATGCATCTATAAAAATTGGTAACAGTCCTTGTGGACATGCCTAATTTCCTTAACCTCCAAAAGGAAGTAGAGACATTGTTGTGCTTTCTTGAACATCTCGGAGTGAGTGGACCAGGACAGGTTGTTGGTAATCACCACTCTCAGGAACTCGACACACTGGATTATCTCCACCTCAGCACCATGGCTGCAGACAGGGGTGTGCCCTCCACTCTGCTTCCTGAAGTCAATGACAGGCTTCTGCATTTGGCTGATGTCGATAGAGAGATAATCATCATTCCACCATACCGCTAAGTGCTCAATCTCTTTCCTGTATTCTGTCTTGACATTGTTTGAGACCCGACCTAGAATGGTGGTGTCATCAACAAATTTGTAAGTGAAGAAGTTGAGGTGGAATTTGGCCACACAGTCAAGAGAATAATAGTGTAAACAGCCTCTGGGCACTGGTATTGAAGGATTATGGTGGAGATGTTGTCGCCTATTCTATTGATTTCGGTCTATGGTTCAGGAAGTAGAGGATCGAGCTAGGGGAGGAGCTGAGACCGATGTCTCGGAGTTTACAGACAAGTATGTTTGGAATTATGGTGTTGAGGGCAGAGCTGTAGTGAATAAGTAGGAGCCTGACATAGGTATCCTTGTTATCCAGATGTTCCAGGCAGAGCAACACCAACAGCGTGGGTTCAATTCCCACACCAGCTGAGCTTACCAATGAAGAGCTCACCTCTCAATCTCTTCCCTTGCACGTTGGCCCTCAGGTTAAAGCACCACCAGTCACCCCTCTCTAATGAAAGAGCAGGTCTAAGCTCTGGTAGGACAATAGTGACTTTACCTTTACATCCGACAACCTAGTTTAAAAAAAACTGTGCTGCTGCATTCATACAGTCATCCAGCACGGAAACAGACCATTCGGTCCAACCAGTCCATGTTGAACATAATCCCAAACTAAACTAGTCCCACCTGCCTGCTCCTGCTCCATATCCCTCCAAACCTTTCCTATTCATGTTCTTATCCAAATGTCTTTTAAACATTGTAATTCCTGGGAATAGGTTGGACTAACCGTTACCAGTCAGTCAATCTGAGAGAGGAGAGGAGAGGTTGGGAAGGAGCAACAAAGGAGGAATGAACAAAAGAATGAATGAATGACGGAACTAAAGAATGAAAAAGAGAGAGATTTCCATTTATTTAGTACTTTCATAACATTGGATCACTTCTAAGCATATTACAGCGGAATGAAAGTACTTTCATTGTATGGTCACTGATGTAATATAGAAAACACAGCGGCCAAATTGAGCAGAGCAAGGCCCAAAATCAGCGAGATAACAACTACTAATCTATTTTATGGTGGTGGTTGAGGGATAAATTTGGCCAGGACTGTATGAACAATATTGCAAATTGAAAGAATATATTCTGATGTGCAGAACAACGAGAAAGACACTCATTTCTCAATTTGGAGTCAGAATTTCATCTCTGGTTTCTCATCACTGAGAAGCTGCCTAGGTGTTTTTTATGGGATGGTGACACTGTGCGCTCACATAATAGAATCTAACTTGGGGAGTGGGAAGAAACAGAATTGAGCTGATAAACTGTTCATATCACCCAGAGAAGTATTAGGAGCCAGTTAAGGGTCCCATGGCTTGAACAGTTTCTAGCTAATCATTCTGGAAAGACTGAAAAATGAAATACTTTTCTTTTAATGGCAATGTCATGGAGGCTATATATCATAACCAAAGGAGAATTAGTAAGCTAAAAATTAGAACTCACCTATATGGGTAGGAATAAAAATAAGTACATATTCATACAAAAAGTCGTGGAACTTTGAAATTAGATCCCTCAAAAACAGTGGATTCTGGTTCAATTGAAATTTTCAAGACAGATCAATCATCCCACTACTGGGAGAAGACCAAAACTATTCCTATAGGCCCCTGCCACAAATTTAATTCTCTTTCTTTGCCGCTCTCTCAGACTGAACCAAACTGTCGGCAACTCAGCATCATATTTGATACATATCTTCTCCTTAACAAAAGCTACTTACTTCCATTTCCATTGTATCGACTGTCTTTCCCTTGTCTCAGCCAATCTGCTGGAAACATTCATCCAAACTTTGCAGCATTTCTAGACTTAACAAGCGTAATGCTGTCCTAACACACTGCTCTACACCATCTTAAAAACTCCAACCCATGCAAAACCTGCTGCCTACATCTTCACACCCATAAAGTCCCAGTCAGACACAACCCAAAAACTTTGTTCATCTGTATTTGTTCCCGATCAACCAAATGTTAAATTTTAAAATTTCACGTTAACAGTTAAATCCATTCATGTCCTTATCCTTCCTAAGTCTCGAGATCGAAGGCCTAGCACATACCAACATTCTGGTTCCTTACGCATCCCTTGCTACTTGGAACATGCTGGCTCCTGTCAGGTTTCACACTTCATCCCTGCCTCCCACCTCCTCGCTGTCCTTTAAGAGTTTCCTTAAAATTCAGCTTTTTGACCACTAGAGGTTAATTTTCTTAATCTTTACTTCAGCTTGATGTCCATGTTTTAATTTAGAGCCAGTAGGCACTTTGAGATTTTTGCTACATTGAGACAAGCTCTGTAAATGTAAGTTTCTTCTACTATGAACAAGAATACTGATTCACCTGCTACTGACTTTCATTGCTGTTTGTTTTGTATGGACTTAATACAAAGAACCTTAAATTGTTAAAATTAACCAGAATTTTTAAAATCTGAGTCCTCCTATGCAGACAAATATTCTTCTCTCAGGTCTTTAGAAAATGATGCAGGCTGAATGTGAGAAACACTGAAGATATATACTTACCAAGTATAAACAGATCCAGATTTAGTTAGAGCCACTGAAAATTGTGATCCACATTCCACCTTAACCACACCAAGTCCAGTTAGGGAATCAATCTATTTGTAGAAAATATTGAACAACGTCAGCCCTAAAAGTTGCCACTGTTGTTAAGACTCCACCTAAATGGTCTTAATCAATTATAAGTATAATGAAAGCTTGAATGTAAAAGAAATACAATGTTTTAGTATTAAAGCAGCTGATGAGTTGAGAGCAAATAGCAAAGATATTCGAAAGCTAATGCAGAGTGCAACAGAAAATTAATCTTTAGTTTGCTGAGAATGAGATTTTCATTGTAACAGGGTCTCTAGAGCTCTCTGAAATTATGTATATTGTGCTTTTATTTCCTCTAAATTATTGGATTAAATAATCAAAAACCCAACTGAGCAAAATTCTAGATTAGCATGAGTGTATTTTTTTTTAAGATAGATTAAGGAAACAACTATGAAGAAGTCAAATCTGAAAGATAAGGCAGATGAGGTAAAATAAATCTTAATTAATTATTAAATTGAGGTATTAGAACTGCAGCAATGGCCAGATCAAGACATAGTCTAGTGATAGATGCAGTAATCACGATATGGGACATAGGGAATTTACGAAGTTCCTAGAAACAAGTGTCAGAAAGTTGCAATTTTTCAGCCATGGAACACAGAACATGAGTTAATGTTGCCAAATGTAGCCAGTTAAGTGAAAAGGAATGTGTCTGCGAGACTGCTCGGACGGTGTTCATCCTGCAGCGTAAGACGAATGGGTCACAATACACAGGGGTGGGGAGAAGGAAATGAAACTGCATTTGCGTTTGTCCAAAGATAGACGGTTCTTAATACACATGGCGAGGACAGGGGTGATGACGCAAGTATTGAGAAAGAAAGGTACCATGATACAAAGAGTGGGCCATGACATACGTCAAGGAGATATATTGTAAGTGGTTTTGCCGAGACTGTAAATGTTAGACTCTACACTAAGTGAAAAACTTCAATGGTAGCAATCTCAGCAACACTGAACTACACAATTTGAGAGGAACATACAAACGGGGAGGACGAGGAGTACGCTATTCAGCCTCTTGAGCTTGCTTCAATATTTAACAAGATCATGCTTGACCTAACTGCAACTTCAAATCCACATTCCTGCCTACTGCCAATGATCTTTTATACCCACAGATTCGATAAGTCAACTCATGGGTGGGATAACATGCGGAAGATGGTGATGGTGCCCATCATGGTCCTCAGAGTGCATGGGGGTAGCAACAGCCTTTCTACTCTTCCTGACTTTATACAAACATTTAAAAACAAAATTTTACTAATATTGCGAGGCAGCATTCATGTCAGGAAAGCTTAGATGTCTCCATTAAGAACAAAAACTTCTGAAGGTGAATTTTAATTTCGCAAAATTAGCTGGGCTGGAGTTGGGTCAGATGTTAAAAATTTTAAACTTCACATGAGCAGGACAATGGGTGAGATTAATGAGGTTCAAAGTCCCACCAGGCATTAGGAAACTTGGGATCTGAAAGGAGAAGACAGCTTTGGGAAAATAATAAATGCCTTTACAACATTACGTCTGGGCAAAAATGAACAAGAGTGATTCCTTCAGTCTCCTTCAACCTACCAGCAGACCACATCTGTCAAAAATCCCAGGGTAAGGGGCAATTGGAACTGCCCCTCACTGCTGTTCATCTTCAATCATATCTTGCCATTTTTACACCTAGTGTATCAGGGTTAAGTCTGTGTAAAATGGATTTCTCCCCTGTAATATCAGCTTCATGTGAATTTATCTGCAAACTCTCAGTACCTTCATTGGAACTTTACAGCCATCGCTGCCACCTCTTCCAAGTTTTCCATAATCTCCATCGCCCCAGGACCAGACAATATCATCATCAGTCAAACAAAGAGTTTGTGCATCTCCACTTCCACATGCAACATCTATGACTCTGTAACCCTGCAGTGCTTCCACCTGAGAAATGAACACAAATTTGCATTCAGAAAGATAAAAACAGCGCACAGGACCATTCTCACTGGAGGCCAGAATGCAATATAACTCAATTAAATTAAGTTCAATTTAATACTGCTAATTACTGCTATAGTACTCAGGATAAAAATAGAAGGCTGGTGGTTCTTCTTGGAGTCTACCAATCAACAATACACGCAAAACATGTCTGCCTGGTGCCCAAAATATCAATCAGCTCCACATGCAAATGGGTGTTTTTACTTAAGATCAGCAACGCGAGAAATGCAAAAACAATATCATTTGTGTATCAAGTGGTATTACAATGGGCAGCTAGTTTATTCAGCCAGTGCAGATACAATGGGCTGTTGGTCTCTTTCTATGCCATAACTGTTACATGATACTGTAAATGTTTACAACAAATCAGGAATAATAATTTCCATCATCACTGTTTGGGGCTTTTTCAAATCAATACTTCACCAGTACTCACCAATTTTGGTTTCAGCTGATCTTCACTGTCCCCATGTCCCAGTCTTCCATATCTGCCTTTTCCCCATGTGTAAAGCTCTCCTGCTGCAGTGATGCAAGCACTATGTGCTCCTCCTGCAGCAACATCAATCACTTCGATACCACGCAGCGATTCGACAACACGAGGTCGGTCACAGGGGCTGCAAGGGCCAAAAGTGAAACGTAATACACATCTTTTTGTACTTGGAATATTAAAATGGTCACTTTGTAACACTTCTTTCAAACACAAGGTCAAATACTTCAAAAGCTTGAGTCACTACC